ATATACATACATACATATATATATACATACATACATATATATATACATACATATATATATATATATATATATAAAATTTAATTAATTTCTGAGATAAGTACAGTAAAATCTCAGTATAAAGTACACTGTAAAATCATTTTATTTATACTTAATACTGAAAAGTACTTTATACAGCAAACACAATTTTATCAATTTGTTTGAAATTGTTTACCCATCTACAAAATTAATGAATAAAATTCATGAAATGAGTTGAGCAATTACCTACCAACAACAGGATTTTTCTTTTCAGTTTTCCAATATCTATTTCCAACTCAAGAAGTCAGCCTGTGAAAAGTTCTTTAGTCTTCCATGCTTTCTTATTGGCTGTATATTTTACTGGCAAAGATGCCACGTCTTTGCAACATCTAGGCTTTATGCAATGTCCTACAGCCACTGGCGTAAATTTTTCAGTACCAGTCGCATTACAAGAAAATAATGCAATTAATCATTCTTGTGGCTGTTTTCCACCTACAAATTTCTCTGCCTTGTTTTATTCGGCAACATGATAAAAAATGTGTTTCACCTGCATTGATAAGATATTTTTAATCATACTTTCCAATTAGATTTTTCAGATTATGTTCTTTTCATTCTTCACTCTTGTTCATGTCAACATCTTTAGCCTCCCAAACAACAGTCTTGCAAGTTAAGCCATATTGCTTGCAAAATAAGCTAGCCACCACCTGCCTAAAAATCTTGTACCTCCATTAGTGTTGCAAAATTGTCTTGCTTTTTCTTGTCATTGATTCAGAAACAGGAATCCTACTAGACCTCTCTTCCTTAAACCATGTCTGTTGTTACTTCTTCGTGATGAAAATCCCTGAAACAAATCTTCTATCAGGGCATATTGCCGATTGTTCATACAATTTTAGAATTTTTTTCTCTGTTTTTTAAAATTGTTGAAACTGAAGTTAGCTTCATATTATACGCATGTGCTACATCAACCTGCTTCATTCCACTTTTTTAAAAATTATTATTATTATTATTACCTCCATTTTGTGTTCTTAGGGAACTGTCTCCTTTTCATGGTTTCCATTGAAATTAAAGTGCGTTATATATTTTTTATGAATACCTCTAATAACCACCACTGAACACACTTAGAAAACCGTAAACCTACAACACATGTATTTGCAATGAGAGGGTGTTTGCTATCATTAACAAGACATGAACTGAATTTCCTGAAGATCATTGAAATGGAAAAAGTGGGGATTGTCCATCACATGGTCCAGAAATAACTACTATTATTTCTATCTAGGCTAACTAGGTCTTGTCTTCATGAATTCGATTGACGTGTGGTGTAGATATTTATGCAATACATGTTGTGTAGGAACAAAAATAATTTTAAAAAATTAATCCATATGGTTAACTTCATACTGAAATATGACCGAGTAGAGACTTTGTAAAAGCGAAATTCTTTACATTGTTACATAGGATATTAAAACAGGAATTTCAGATATAAACGTAAAACTGAAATCTACATAATACTGATGTTGGTTATACTGAGATTTCACTGTATTTCTATATCTAAAAGTATATTCATCTTCACTTTATATCTGTTTTTCAATGGAGTATTGATTATGTAAAACTATTCTTTGGAAAAAGCTTAAAGAGAATATTGATAATGATGCTATTTCATTTAATAAAATATTTTTTAACTGCTGCCTTGTACAGGTGCAGCCTTAGAAAATCTTTCTACTGGCAGAGTAGGTATAATTCAAGAAAGTTCCAACACACTTTCGCATGCTGTATGCATAGCTGTTCGATATTCTGCTGTAAGAAAACAGTTTGGACCCAATGATAATGATGATGAAGAACTAGCGATAATAGAATACCAATTGCAGGTAAGAATAATAATAATATTTATGTTTTTATTAAGATTCTAATATTCTAGTAGCATAATCAAACACAAAGATCTTTCATTTTGTTCATTTGTTAACTCATTTTATAGCAATGGCGCTTATTCCCTTACATGGCAGCTGCTTGCACCATGAAAGTCTTTGTCTCTTTGTTTACGGATCAATATTTAAATTGTGTTGAAGAGACTAATTGTGGTGGAAAATTAAGGCGTTTGGTAAGGAATTATAATAAGTCATATTCACAGCATAATTAATATTAGAGTAAATATCCAATAGAACCTGAAGTTCATTTACTTAAATGTAATTTTCTGCTGCATTTTCCATTTTGAAAGTGGCAAAACACTAGTTGATTGAGGTATGTCAGCTAAAGACATGCACATTTCTCTGAATTCTCTGAAGAAGACTTAATAGAATAATAGTTTGTACCTGATCATTAAATCTTCACTTGATTCTTCATATGGATGTACTATAGTGTTTAGTCATATTCATTGCTGTTTCTTGGATCTCTTGTTTCTGATCATTGCCATGTTGTATATGAAGATGATTTATACATTATTTTGGGGTGACTGTTTTTAACTTTTGTTGTTCTACCTGCTTTGCAAAATAGAAAATAAAAATTGAAACTCGCCAAAAAATCATATTTATGTGAAATTTAGCATCAGTTCATTCACTGCAAACTAGTAGATAAGTTTTGAGGAAAATATACTATAAATTTTTTTTGATGATGTAAATTAAAAATTCATTTCAGAACTTTTTTTAACAAGATTAGAATTAACACGTATTTTTAAAATTTATAAAATGTAAGAATTAGTGGAAGTAGAATTTTGCAGATCACAAATATTTTCTGATTTTATGAGATTTTAAGTAAAAGGTTTTGTATAAAAATATCAAAACATTGAATAATTTTTTTTAAAATCAATACCATGTGTTTTTAAAATCAATACCATGTGACAGGCTTCATGTAAAATGTAAGGTACTCTTGCAAAGCAATTGTTTGAGTGTGCATGTTTTAATATACAATATACTATGACTCATCAGGAGAAGAATTTTGGCTAAAATAAAATCATATAAATGTATGTCTCAAAATGCACATTCTGTTTACAATGCATAGTTAATTTATCTTAGCACACAATTTCTCTTTCCTTAAAACATTGGAAGAATGATGATGATGATGAATGGTCATGAATCTGAGATACGAAGATTTTCATTTCTTCACTACTTGCGGCTTTTCTTCCCTTCTCAGCTGTAAACGACTACTGGATGTTTCATCCAAAGTCCCTTTCTATTTTATTTTTGATGGACACATTACGCATGTCATACTTCCTGAAAATAAGGGGCAAATTCTAAACTGATGGGATTAGGCTACTTTGAAAATTAAGGAGATCTTAACAGCATCAGTGGCTGTACAGACAATTGTGAAGGAGGGGTGGAAAAATATCTAAACCATATGTTTATTTTCACTTCATAATTGTGAATATGTAGGAATTGGTTTGGAACATTGCCTTTGGTTGATCAAATTGACAGTTGCAACATTACTGTTGGTTGGGCATATTACAATAACAAGGTTTCTTTAAAATATTTCTACTGCTCTAACACTACAAAAATGACCTTATAGCAATAGTGTGCAGTATTTTCAGATTCAATTAGGGGCAAATATGGCAGAAAGAAACTGCTTTCATTTATGATCACAGATAAGGGAATTCAGTCTGCTCAAGAGTTTGAGACAACTGATTTTCCAAGAGATTTTCTGAGTTGTCGAATAAGATTCTTTAAAAAGATATGAACTGTTAATTCTTACCTTGTTTCATAGATAGGCAAACTGCAGTGGAATATACATGTGGCTTACCACACAAATTAGGAATTTTCATATTTGTGTCTGTCCATGATCTGAATAATGTATTCAAGCTTTGCAGGGGCCCTTTGAAATTTTATTCGAATTTTAAAATGAAAACATTTCATTCTTTTTGTAGTAATGTTTCATAGCTGTACTGAAAATTCAGCCTGCATTGTAGCTCCACTGTATATTTTTCAGATGTCTGTGTGCATTTTTGAGGTTTCCTTTCTCTTCTTTCACTCTTTCATGGTCACTCTTTATAGCTATATCAGTAGATTATTAGCTTGGATCTAGACTTAGGATATCTTGAATTATAGGAACAATTTGATTGCTATTATGATATTTAATGGGAACTCAAAAGACACACCTGCAATTTTATATTCTCTAGAGTGGAATGGTTGCCGAGATCCATGCTATGGTGTCTGCTTGTAAGCCTCTTATAACTTGGACGTGTAGTAGTGCTATTCAAGAATGCAGAGAAGCCTGTGGAGGAAATGGTTATCTTAAAGGTAAATATCAGAACTCTTACAGTATATATTTATGTGCTAAATGTTTTTCCATGTAACAGAGTTATTTTTATTTTTTTTAGCATCTGGTCTGGGTGACCTACGGAATAACCATGATGCAAAAGTCACGTATGAAGGAGATAATAATGTTCTGGTTCAGCAGGCCAGTAATTGGCTTTTGAGGCAATGGAGATCTGTGAATGACAGTGAAAATAAAAAAGAAATTTCATCTCCATTGCAAACTGTCGATTTTCTGATCAATGCTGGGGATATCTTGCAAAAGAAATTTCGTGGTCGAGTGAAAGAAGATGTTATGTCACACAATTGTAAGAATGAAAAATACCTTTTTTATTTAATTATAGAATGTCTAGAGGTGGCTGACTCACAATTTTAAATATTTCTTCTCTAATGTAGTATTCTCCGTTGAGACTAGTAGGCAATTTTTTGATAGGTTCTAAAATGATTGAGCATCACTAATAATCACATCACTGTGAAATATATTCTCTCAATAGCCGTAAGGTCTGGGGCACATCACCAACTGTTTATACCTTAAAAGAGTCACTTCAGTGTGTGTAGTTGTTGGCTAGGGTTACTTATTATGTGTAATTTGCATTGTTCCAATATTATTGCTTGAAAGAATATCATAAAACAAACAATGATGTATCAGTGTGAGGAAATGCATGCATGTGAATGAAGTCTGATAGTTGTAAATAGAAAAGCCTTAAAAAACGAATTTCAAAGAGTCATTTACTTTCATCTCAGTTTTAACTAAACTCACAATATAATAAAATTTAATCACAGAATTATGCATATAATTAACCTTTCTTACAAAGGAAGTTTTCAAGTGATATTCTGATAAATATACTGATATAAATATTTCACAGTTAGCAGAATAGCAAGAATAAAACGGAAACTTTCTGGAAACAGCTCAAACACAATTTAGCCAACATTGTGAAATGCAAATCATTCCCACAGGTTAATCACTGACCAAGGCCCCCCCTCCCAATTTGGTTAAACAGCAATGAATGTCAAAAGAAATTTCTCACACATGACTGAACGGACAATACATTTAAGCAGTGAATTCTCTGAAGCTTTTAATATATTAATGTGCACCTTATTTTGCTTGTACCGTACCCTGGGGGATTGCTCTTTTTTTTTTTTTATTCTGTTTTTTGCAAAGAAAATAATTTTTATCTGATGAATGCAGTTTTGACTTCATCTTATATTTATGATTACATGACTGTATTACCTGTTATTTAACTGAAAAATAGCGATATATGGAATTTGAAGCCTTAAACTTTCTGGAATAAGGCCTTTCCCCGAGGTTCAACCTGGGCAGTCCAATTGTGAATTAAAATATTTAAGTACCAATGCACAATCTCAGTATTAAATAATTATTTTTGTGTGCTAAGTTTATATATAAGGTTATCAGTATTGTTAAATATATTACAGGCAAAATTCTAATTGCTTTTTTAAGTTTAACAAGTGCATCAATTTGATACTTCTGACTGATCATGTAAAATATTGTGTGTAATAGTAGGTTTTAATTTTCTTTTTCTTTTGTCTCTTTCGTCCAGTTACAGCAGTGACTGAATTTTGTAATATTGTATGAAATAAATAAAATTAAAAGATGTTTGGTAGGTAGTTGTTGTATGGTAACGTCAGGGCTGTAACCTAAGCAACAGTGAAAAAGATGCTTCAGCACTTGCAATGGTGTCACCTCAAATTACAGAAAAAATGATTTGCTTGGTATGAATGTCATTGTTAAACAGCTAAGTGTAATTATGGGTATTGAGAGAAATGTTAATTGTGAAAAAATGCGTTATGATGATGATTATGTGCATATGATGTGGCAGCCCTATCACAATGAGATAAATGTGTACAAAACCACCATCCCCCTCTACATCCCACTGTCGGCCACCTTATTTTATTGACACCTTAAACTCTTAAAGAGGTCCAGTAGATTCTAAAGTGCTGTTATGAAGGTGCTACATTCTGCTAATGAGATTTTTCTTTTTTCATCTGTTTTCCTACCATTTGTGCAAGCCAAAGTGTTTTATGTTTTTCTTCTTTTGGTAATCGAATGATAGACATGTCCTTGTGCGTACAAGCAGCCAACTTTGTTTAGTCGTAGGAATTAAGTATTCATTGTAATGAGTTGCACATGTTTCAACAATGTACAGATTCTGCCAATATTATCATTTGCTAGGCAATTTTAATTTAGAAATGTAGCAATTTTGGGAAAGCATTAATTGTCTATTTTCACACTGTTCATGTATTTGTCATTATAGATATTGCAAGTAGCAATACTTTTATCAGGCAAATGGTGATGTATCATCTTCTGCTTCATTCGCAATATCACTGAGGAGTTCATTCCAACAGGTTGATCTTCATCCTCTCCTTCAAGCAAATAAGCACTGCCAGATTTGTCTTCATTCCCATGTCTCTCCCTATTACTTCCTAGGAAGATTAGGATTTCTGTGTCCTTGTGTGAGTACTGCAAAATTGGTTGGTTACTCTGCATCCTTTTTTTCAGTCCCAGAATTTTGGTAGCCATTAATTTTCCCTTCAGGATTATGTCTTCGCTAATTTTTGTATTCTTGTGGCAATTGTGTATCCAAAGCCCACGATGAAATGTGCTGCAGCTTTTGTTACACATCTCAGCATCATCTCATCAAACACATCTCAGCATCAGCTCATGCAGCAAAGCAACATCTAATCAATGGGAATTCTGATACATTAGAACTTCCTCTGACCACTGACTGACTTGAATCAACTGTTGATTTTTTAAAAGTAGAGGAAATATAAAATAATAAATAAATGGGAGACAGTGCTACTCATCTTTCCAGCGAACTTGTGATTTTCATCTACATGGCAATTCTAAATTTGTGCAATTAGGGGTCGTACATAATGCTAAAG